AAATTATATAACTGGATCAAAACAGTGGAAGATCTGCAAAATTGTCTTACAATCATAAAAATAATCATTTTAATGGTATGTCAACTATCTCAGTGGGTAAAGGCTCACCCCTGTGAGCTATATGGTGAGAATAGACTCTCCATAAGCTGTCCTTTGACTTCCACATACAAATGTGTTAATTTTTAAGAATATGTATTATTTAGAAATCATTCAGAATTTTGTGACACCCAAAGTAATAATAAGCAACCATTATCACCACAAATATAGAAAGACAGAAATGCTGGCTAGCATTAACTCTAACTAAAAGTTTCCTGTAATTAGAATTAATAATTATTTCAGATACATGCTTATTAGGATTAGGTATGTACTTTGAGCACTGTTTCCTCCAAACTGCTTTCTAAATACCAAATTATATTTCATTAATAGGCAATGATGCAAATTTAAAATGTGAGGCAAGGGTCAGTGAGATGGCCTAGTGGTAAAAATTCTTACTGCCTAATCTGTTACCCTGAGCTGGTTCCTTTGGACCCATGAGGTGGAAGGTCAGGACCAGCTCCGCCAAACAGTTCTCTGATTTTCCAAATGCACACTGTGGTAACTTCACATATGTAATGCTCAAAACAAAGAAATGTAATAATAAAAACAAAGATACAGGATGTAGTGGCACATGTCAGTTACCAAAATGCTTCAGAAGCTGAGGCAAGAGGACCAGAAGTTCAAGGTTTTATTGAGCTATACACAAAGTTCAGCGAAAGCCACTATGAGCCTGTGTCACAAAAAGATTTAAAAAAAAAAAAAAATTAGACCGGGCTGGAGAGATGGCTCAGAGGTTAAGAGCTAAGAGCACCAACTGCTCTTCCAGGGGTCCTGAGTTCAATTCCCAGCAACCACATGGTGGCTCACAACCATCTGTAATGAGATCTGGTGCCCTCTTCTGGTGTGCAGATATACATGGAAGCAGAATGTTGTATACAGAATAAATAAAATCTTTTAAAAAAAAAATTAGACCTTTTTTCCCTTTGCCAAGTTTTCAGTTGAAAAGGACAAATATGAAAGGACAAAATATGAAAGTACAAAAAATGTAAAATCTTCCAGGTTTTCCCTTCATGTATTCCTGTGTATAGATATATCACATAGCTATGATCTCAAGTCAAACAAGATATGACAGCTTAAAGAATCAAAATGTACCACCTCAATAAAACGTCCAGAAAATCTTATGAGATGCAATACCAGCTTCAACATTATGACAGAACAAGAGGACATACTTTTAGAGCTGCAGGTGCACACTACAGACTTATGGCCTGGAGGAAGATACATTTCCTTCAAGGTTCTCACAAGTTCAAATATGCCAAGCACTGACTATAGATTTCAAAACACTAGTACTTTACAGATGTTTGTAATACAACTTTAAGCTCATTCAAAAACATTTCTCTATTTTCTCATTTTTCCTAATAAAATTTAAACATATTTTCAGGTTCAGAACAATTTTTAAGGTTTTAGCATGAGACATGAATTTGAAGACTCTCCTTTTACTAGGGAATAATCTTGGGAAAGGCCTTCACCTTAATAAACACACATTATTTGTTACATTGGTAAAAAAAAAACTTCTGCAAAGTTCAGTTCTTTATATTCAACAGAGCAGAAGGAATGATAGTCAAACTAGAAAAGCATAGACTCAGAATTATTATTCAAATCTCTGATTCAACTAAAGGGATTAAAATCTTATTCATATTATACTAAAAATGGCAGAGTAAGGGCATTACAGAAGTTAATTTTGGTTCAATATAAAGGCAACTTCTAATAACACTTATATACACAAGCTACTTAAGAAAGCCGTGTTTACAGTATTCAAACAAGCCAAGCTATGTAAGACCATTTATCTAGCATTTGGCAGAAAGCACATAGCACTGGAAAACTGTTATAAATAACTTCAAAAAGTCTTTCCCAACTTTAAGGGCACTAGACATGATATGTGTTTTTATGCTTGTCATTTCATTTTCATATGCCCCTGTAAAACAGCAATGCATTTTAGAGAATAAAGACACTCACAATCTTAACTTAGTCAATCATATTCATAAAGTGGGGAACTGGTTTTCAATGTCTAACTGAATCTGGGCTCTTACTCCATCAGTTGATCCACCCCTAAATAGAACCACCTGTAGAAGTTCAACTGGAATCCCTAAAAGACTCCAGCTATTCTAATCTAAGGTTTCCAATCTGTAGCTAAAATTAAGAGCCAAATCTTCTATGGAAACAGTTTCTTCTGTTTGCATATAGTCTGTGAGTCTTTCAATTTTACAAACCACAAATTACAGTGTTTTGGTCAAAGCTGCACTATGTTCATAGTTTTGTTCTTTACATTAAAAATCCAGCCAGGCATGGTAATGCACACCTTTAATCCCAGGACTGGGAAAGCAGAGGAAGGTAGTTGGTCCAGGTCAGCCAAAGCTAAGTAGGGAGAACCATGTCAAAAAAAAAAAAAAGGAAGAAGTCAATCTCATAACCTCATGCTTCAGCTCACACTATTATTTCCTGATCATAAAGTTAATAAGGTCTATTTTCCTTCCTGCTTAAAACCATTTTTGATTATTTTCACCTGCATCCATGTTCACGACTTTTAATTTTTGTGCCTGTGTCATCAGAGGGAGTCAGGTTCCTAGGAGCTAGAATTACAGTCACTTACGTTGGTGCTGAGAATTTAACTCAGGTCCTCTGAACTTCCCCTCCCTTTTTGAGAGTTTACTTTGATTTTTATTACATAAAAGGCATAGGCACTAGCAAAGATTAATATGATTGTACTCTTAAAGTTATAAGAAAGGTGTCTCATGCCTTTAATCCCAGCACTTGAGGCAGAGGCAAGTAATCTGAGTTCAAGGCCAGCCTAATCTACAGAGTGAGTTCTAGAGAGAAACAAAGAGAAACACTCTGAAAACAAACAAACAAACAAACAAACAAACAAACAAACAATAAAGTCACAAGAAATCTATTTTCTGCCTCTTTTTAAAAATATATTGAGAGGCTTGGGCTTAGGTTCCAGTGACATGGCTAAAAGCACCAAGAAGGTTGAGATTGTTGGGAAATACGGGAACCACTATGGTGCCCCTTCCAGAAAATGGTTAAGAAAACTGAAATCAGCCAGCACACCAAATACGCTTACTCTTTCTGTGGCAAGACCAAGATGAAGAGACAAGTGTTGGCATCTGGCACTGTGGTTCCTGCATGAAAACAGTGGCTGGTGGGGCCTGAACTTACAACACTACTTCTGCCATCACAGTGAAGTCTGCCATCAGAAGACTGAAGGAGCTGAACTGAAAGACCAGTAGAAGTGGTATTGCCTGAGACCTGGGGCAAAGTAGGAAAAAAAGCAACACACTGGAAAGCATTACATCAATAGCGATTATGAAGCATTTTTTGGTAGACCTAGTCTACTGATGTGAATGTTGAGAAGGTGCTTGCTGAAATAATTGCTAACATTGTTGAGACTTCAAAATATTCAGCATGGGTCAATACTGTTGTGGGTTTTTTGTTTTGTTTTGAAGTCACTCCATTTAAGAACAGAATTTACTGATTAGTTCTGCCATCACCCAAAATACCTGCTTATTTTCCAAAGGGATTTTATTGTATGTATGTTTCCTGAGTGGTCAGTGTGTGTGTGTGTGTGTGTGTGTGTGTGCACACACACACACACACACACACGAGAGAGAGAGAGAGAGAGAGAGAGAGAGAGAGAGAGAGAGAGAGAGAATACACATTTAAGTTATTACCATATTGGAATACTACATTACTATTTTTGAACTGTCAGGACTATAATATAAGTCAATATGGAAGTACCAGCTGAGGTGTCTATCATTAGATATAGCCTGCTTCAGAGGCAGGAATGTGTCACACCCATATAATCTCAGCACTTGGGAGGCAGAACAAAGAGGATCAGGATGGATATAAAGGTAACCCTTGGCTGCGCCACATAAGACTGTCTCAAAAATAAAACAAGTCTCATTGAGCAATTGCTGATAAAAACTGATATAAAATATGAGGAAAAAGGACAACAGGGTGGGTGACACACACCTTTAATCCCAGTACTTGGGAGGCTTCTCTGAGTTTGAGGCCAACTTGGTCTACATAATGAGTTCCAAGACAGCCAGAGCTACTAGTGAAAACTCACTCAAACCCACAAGTCCGAAAACCAGAAGACTTACCTTCTGGAAAGGAAAAACAATTTTGTGACTTGCAGGATGGCTCAGTTGGGAAACATGCTTGACTTGCAAGTCTTGCAACCAAAGTTTGACTCCTGGAACCTTCATAAAAGTGAGAACTTCACAAAGGAGTCCTTTGACTTTGATATGTGTGTACTATGACTCTCTCTCTCTCTCTCTCTCTCTCTCTCTCTTTCTCCTCCCTTCTCTCTCTTTCTCTCTTCCTCTCTCTCCACACACACACACACACACACACTGTAAAATAGAAAAGAGCCTGCAGACAGAATCCATTCTCCCTGATAATGCTGAAGGGTCCAACTAAAAGTTCAATTTAAAAAATTTCCAAATTGTTGTGAACCAGAACAAGCTCTACAACCACTTTATTTTATGTTCAGTTATTGTCTAATAAGTTATAAAACATTTGCCACTTATAAGATAGAGCTCTTGTTGGATACTTTGCTAAACTGTGATATTCAACTGGCTGTTATTAAATGCATTTCTGACTTAAAGGCAGTGTTATCTTATGATGTGTTTAGAGAGCTATAACCTTATCCTAAGTCAAAATGCATCTGTATATACAATGCTTAGTCATTAATAACAGGCTTGAGCAGACAGTACTAGTTACTACTCAATCTAAAAACTTTTAAACTCACACACACACCCCCCAAAAAAACCATCAAAATTATAGTACTTCTGTTCTATTACTTTACATAACTAAAAATTTCCCATCTAAAAATAAATTTGAAAATCATTTTTGAACTACAATTAGAATGAAAACTGAGATAACTTTGCACACATGGTAGTTACCTGGTTCTTCCTTGATGAGTAGGGCCGTATTTTCTTCTGGATAGGCAACAGGTGGCTGCATCACTGAGCAATCTTCTAAACTTGTTTCATTATTAGGTGGTATATTATAAACAAATCTTTTTGTAGTTTGGTTTTTCCTCCTTGTTTTGCCAGTCTCTTGAGAGCTCACATTATTCCAAATAAACACTTTTGTTTTACCTTGAGACTCATTTTCAAGCAATTCAGAAGAAGGATGCTGGACCCAGTCACTGTCATTCATCTGGTAGCTTTCTATTTGGCCCTCTTGACATTACAACCATCATTTTCAATTTTTATATTACTTGCCAAATTTGTAAGATTCTGTGTCGCCCAAAATCTGGCGATTTTTTGATCCCGTGAAGTCAGGCCATCTCTAATAACTCGTTTTCTATTGTTATAGTCCACAATCACAGACTCTGGAGCTTCTGACTTCATGCCTATATATAAGGCCTCGTCAATGAAACTTTGGCAAGTTTGAACAACTTCACTCATTTGAAGGTAGCTGGCCACCGTCATCACTTCAAGGACATTTTGGCTTGAGAGCACCAGGTTCCCAGAATACAGGAAGTCCAAGATGTCTGAAAAACCTTGAACTGCAGCAATATCTAGGTGGGTAGTATTGTTTTGGTTAGGGCTTTCTTTGTTTGAAACACAATATAAAGTCTTAAAGAAACGGCTGCCTGCAACCAGGATGTTCTTGTGAGCTTTAAAGATTTTCCCGCTCACCACAATGCTGACATCACAAAGAATATCTTTCTTTCTCTGTTCATCTAGTTGCCGAAGAAGCTGATAGCAATAAGAGTTCTCATTTGGCCTATTATTAAAGTCACAGTACCCTTCCTCTGATGGTATTTCTGACCCCTGTAATTGGAGGGAAAACATTAACATTAACTTTTATTCACATTTTAAAGCTCCCAAATGTAACTGTCAAAAAGTTACAAAAATACTCAAGTTATCAATTCATGAATAATTATACATTTTGAGATAGAACACCATACTAAGCACTGAAAGGAATGAACAAAGAGTGCAACTCACAATTGCAAAAAGAAAAGAGCACCTCTTACTGAGGATCAGCAGGATTTCATTGGTTCCTCTTTGCAAATATAAACTAAGGATATGAATTAAGTAAATTTAAAATACTTTCATTTGAGAGTCAAATTAGTCTGCTTTATCTCTGATAGGAAAGCAGAAGCCTTCCTCTTCTCATTAAACTTCAAATACCCAAGTCATAACACAGTAGGC